AGGAAAAAAATATATATATATATATTTCATATATATACACATATATATTTTTCATACACATATATATGAAATACGGGTTTTTGATGTTAGACAACAGATAAAACAGGATAGAGGAATTAAATGAGTTGAGCCCCATGAATGCCCCAGATTCCTCCTTAGAGGCAGTTTCTAGGTTGTGGGGCAGGAAGGGGGAACCTAAACCAAATCAAGCAGCCTCGTTATGTTCAGGAGACACAGTCAAGAATTTGCAAAAGCCAAGACGGCTGGAATTTGCAGGGCAGAGTACCAGAGGAAAGACAGCTGCATCGAGAGGAGAATACCAAAATAATGTGCAGAGAGTTCTTTTCAAGTCTTTAGGTAAGTATTGACCAGCACAATACTTGTTGGGAAATACTGAACAACAGGGAAAGAACTACCAAAAGAAACAGGCAGGCAAATTTTGAGCTGGGAAGAGTTTGTGTTCCCACAGTCAAACTGGAAAAATCTCACCTAATAAACAGGGAACTGGGTAGAATACTCAGGAGGATACTGCTTCCATAGGGGAAAAAGTAGCCTTGGATTAAAGGCTGCTCTGGCCCAACTCACAAAGCTTAAAAGCCTTGAAATGATCAAACGGTTTCCAAGTAACTTAATCATATTCCAAAACAAGCTCAAGAATATTTAAAAGAATGTAAAAACAACACACACATATACACAAAAATCCAACACCCAACAGTATAAAATTCACTCCCAATAAAAAATTAGCAGGCATGCAAACAAGAGGAAAATATGACCCAAAATAAGAAAAATCAATCATTGAAAACAAACCCCAAAATGACACAGATAACTCTTTTAATGTCCTTTTTTACTATTTCTATTATAAATATATTAAGCAAGGTAGAGAAAAGAAATAGCATATTTTTTTTTTTTATTTTTTTTTTTAAATTTTTTTTTTTTCAACGTTTTTTATTTTATTTTTGGGACAGAGAGAGAGACAGAGCATGAACGGGGGAGGGGCAGAGAGAGAGGGAGACACAGAATTGGAAACAGGCTCCAGGCTCCGAGCCATCAGCCCAGAGCCTGACGCGGGGCTCGAACTCACGGACCGCGAGATCGTGACCTGGCTGAAGTCGGACGCTTAACCGACTGCGCCACCCAGGCGCCCCAAGAAATAGCATATTAAGGAGAGGCATGAAAGATTTAAAAAAAAATTTCCATAGGCAAAAATACATTAGGTAAGATTAACAGCAAATTAGTGAAGAATAAGTTAGTGAACTTGAAGGCAAGGCAACAGAAACTATCCAAATTAAAGACAGAGAAAAAAGACTGGGAAACGTATAAAACATTAGTAAGCTGTGGGTCAACTTCAAGCATAGTAATATGCTTATAAACTGGGAGTCCCAGAAGGAGGTAGGAGAGCATGGAGTATAGAAATTTTATTTTAAGAAATAATAGCGAAAATTAAACTATATAAATATACACACATCCAATAAGTGCAACAAACCCCAAGCACAAAAATCATGAAGAACACCACACCAATGCATATTGTAATGAAACTGCACAAATTTGATGACGAAAACCTTAAATTAAAAGCAGCAGAGGTTTTAAAAAATTACAAAGGAACAAAGATAAAAATGACAAGAGTTCTTTTCAGGAACCACACAATCCAGAGAGCAGTAGAGCAAACAACACTTTTAAAACCAGAATTTTAGGGGCACTGGGTGGCTCAGTCAGTTAAGCATCTGAGTCTTGATTTCCTCTCAGTTCATGATCTCATGGTTTCATAGGTTTGAGCCCCATGTCAGGATCTGCACTGATGGCACAGAGCCTGCTTAAGATTCTTCCCCTCTCTCTGCCCCACCGCCCCCACCCCCTACTCACTCTCTCTCCGTCTTTCTCAAAATACATAAATAAACTTTTTAAAAAACTAGAATTTTATACCCAGCCAAAATATCTTTCGAACATAGAGTCAAAAATCTTTCTCAACAAGGTGGGGCTGTACACATTGCTGAAAGTATTTTGGATTTTTGTCTTCAAAGTAATAGTAAAGCCACTAATAGACTCTGAATGGTGAGACTTGCATTTTAGGAAAAACACATTAACTTTTGTTAAGAACAGATTGAGCTTGGGGGCCAGGGGGCCACACATATGTAAGAGCAAAGGAGCATAAACTTGTTCAAAAAACAGGATAACATTGATTGGGCTGGTAGAAGTGGGTATGAAGAATGGTAGACTGATTAGAAAAATATCTAGAAGATAATTATTTGAAGACTTGGTGCCTGGATGTGAGGTGTGAGGAAGAGGAAGGAATCAAGAATGATTCCTGTTCCTGACATGAGCAACTATACTTACATATAATTTTATCTACCTGAAAAATAATGTAAATCAATTATACACTATCAAAACTGTAACTGAAACCCACAAGAGTAAACTATTCTAAATACTGCATTTAAACTAAAGAATTCACTGTGTAAAAATGCAAATAAAAACCAAATAGCACTTTTTTGTAGGAGAGAAAGATACAGGCATAAGCATTCTTCATCTGAAATTTGCACTGAGCTCAATCTTGCATTGACACAGTTGCTATTGTTCCTTATAGAAAATAGTAAAAGCATGACTTCTATGAGCCATTTGATGAAACACTAAAGTGCCTTTACAAAACAGTTCCTTCTACAGGCAAATCACTATTATGGGGGGGGGGGGGTACCTTTAAAAGTAATTATAACTCTCATGAGGCATTTAAAATGGCAAATTTTTGGTAATCCCTCCTAGTTCAGCAACCTTGCTTCCTGTGTTTCTGTCTTCACAGGAATCTATTGGTGAAAGATTTTTAAAAGGTTTTAAATAGTAACAACAAAGGTTTGTCATGGATTTATAAAGTGCTGCGTACTATTATGTTGTACTAAGTACCTTACATGATAATCTCATTCAACCTTAAAAACTCTATTAGGTGGTAGTTATCCCCATTCAACAGATAAATTGAGATGCAAAGAGGTTAAGGAATTTGTCTTACATTATGAAGCTAATAAGTGGCAGAGCTAAGGATATAAAACCAGAGAGGGCTCACCTCAATCCCTGGGGACTCTTGAGAAATTCATCTTTAAACTTCAAAAATCTTCCTGCACATTAGAATATGTGTAACTGGTATACTGATTTTGTGTGGTTACATTCTTTACATGTAATAACTAAGTTTCTAAATTATTTCCTTTTAAAAATTCACAAAAGGGATTAAAAGTACACTTATCATGTGGTGAGCATTGAGTAATGTCTAAAATTGTTGAAACATTATAATGCATGCCTACAAATAGCACTGTATGCTAACTGTATTTCAATTAAAAATAAGATAAAATTGGGGCGCTGGGTGGCTCAGTCAGGTAAGCGGCTGACTTCAGCTCAGGTCATGATCTCGCGGTTTGTGAGTTCGAACCCCACAATGGGCTCTGTGATGACAGCTCAGAGCCTGGAGCCGGCTTCCAATTCTGTGTCTGCCTCTCTCTGCCCCTTCCCAGCTGGCACCCTGTCTCTGTCTCTCTCAAAAATAAATAAACGTTAAAAAAATAATTTAAAAAAAGATAAAAGAAAAATTAATAAATTCTCATCCTTAAAATGTTCAGACTTTCAATTTGCCTCAAGAAAGTCTTCAAAGCAGATAAACTTAAAAAGCAAGAATTAGGGGCGCCTGGGTGGCACAGTTGGTTAAGCGTCCGACTTCAGCCAGGTCACGATCTCGCGGTCCGTGAGTTCGAGCCCCGCGTCGGGCTCTGGGCTGATGGCTCAGAGCCTGGAGCCTGTTTCCGATTCTGTGTCTCCCTCTCTCTCTGCCCCTCCCCCGTTCATGCTCTGTCTCTCTCTGTCCCAAAAATAAATAAACGTTGAAAAAAAAAAAAATTAAAAAGCAAGAATTATATGTAGACTATGAGAATTTTCACGAACATATGTAGACACGTGTGTGTAACAGGGGATGCTGATAGAGAATCCAAATCATCAAAGGCATAGCTTGGCTGAGTACAGACACCACGGACCTGAAAGTGTGCTGAGGGTTGGCTATGTTAAGTTGTACAACAGGGGCGCCTGGATGGCTCAGTCAGTTGAGCGTCTGACTCTTGATTTTGGCTCAGGTCATGATCTCACAGTTGATGAGTTCAAGCCCCACACTGGGCTCTGCACTGACACTGCAGAGCCTGCTTGGGATTCTGTCTCCCTCTTTCTCTGCCCCTCCCCTGCTGGCTCTCTGTCTCACAAAATAAATAAAAATAAACTTTAAAAAAGAAGAAGAAAGCTGTACAACAAACCATTAATGCTATCACGTAGTACTGTGATAGGAAACAGCTCAGACGATTTGTGTGGAAACCATGTTGTATGATGGACATGAAGGACTGCACACACTTAAACTTTCTCGTGCTCAATTACATGGCATGTTATATGCATGACTCTTTCATCAACAACCACAGAGTTACTAGGATTAACTTCAGAATTGTGAACTCATTAAAATTTCTCTGTAGCTGAGCAGAAACTCACAATTTAAAAGGTTTTTTTTCTCTGCCACAACAAAAAAAGCCTAGAAACTGAAATTCTCCAATAAAGTTATTTTATTTGGGTTCAACCTAAAATAGTTTAAATTTGATCTTTGTTAGAGAAAAGAAATCTCCAATTGTATAGACTTAATAAAAAGTACTGAATTTGCCACTTCCAATAGAGGATAGTTTCTTCATGCTTTGGGCATCTACCATTAGTAACCCAAAAGACTACTTGTAGTAAATATGTCACAGCACTGAAATGCCCAAAATCAATTTCCTAGCTTAGAAAGTTGCCCTTATGTTACCATAACACACAATAGTCTCCTGACTATTCATATTGTTTGAAAACCATGAAAACACAGTTTTTGGCATGCATGCCCAGTTGGAAAAGGATTTGTTCCTCTGAAAACACCATTCACAAGACTAGGCAGAGCTGAGGGCACCTCTGTGTGTGAACAAGCAGGTAGGTATCTCAGGGTTTCTGCAGCCGTCTCCTTCCTTAATGGGTAAGTACCGGTGCCAACAAGGGGAGAGTCCAGGCACATGACTCAGCTTATGACTTAATTTTCCACAGCTAAGAAAAGAAAATCACCAAAATAAGTTAGTTTTAAGACAAACAGTTGGGGTTTACAGGTCCACTTACATGACTATGAACCAAGAACCCTTTACATAAGAACAGTAGCAACTCTAGAACACCATAGAGGAAAAACCATCTAACAATTTCTAGGGTCAAAAATGACATACTGCAGTTCACGGGTTTTGGGTATGCACTCATTCTGCCTCTCAGAGGCAGACCCTTCCTCAGCCCATGCTGTTAGATTAACATGAGATTCAAACTTGATTTTTCGTTCAAGAGCAGTCTATTGTACTTGTGTCAAATGAGAAAACTTAAGCTAAGAACTTAGCCCGTGCACCGCCATCAAAACGTGTATTTCTTTACCTGAAGAGTTATTTCCACACCAGTCCCCTAGTCTGTCTGTCTCTCGCTCAATCACAGATGCGCACAAACACACACACACACACACACACTCACAGGGTGAAGAGCAAGGATTATTATATTTAGTAAGACTAAAGCAGATGCCACAGAGTACTAGTCACACTTACTCTTATATTAAATCCTAGAAGATCACTTATAACACCTGAGACAGCAGAAAGGATAACTACTCGTGTGATATTGTAGATTAAGGGATTCATTGTCAGTCCATAGAGTCTAAACGGTGTGTCCAGCTCCTACAAAAAACATGAAAGAATGGAGATGAAATACATGGCCTATCGATGGCCACCAGTGATTTCTGGGCTGGTTTTTAGGTCTTGGGTACGGATGAGTGTGTAAGGCCTTCCTTCATGTTCAACAGCTGCTTTCAAAAGACCTATAATGGACTCTCACCTACTTTCCACTAGCTAAGTGTTTAAAGGTGGGTTCAAGCAGTATGTTGTGAATTTTTTTTTTTAAATATAATTTGAAAAATGAGACAGACATCAGCAATCATCAGAACCTGGATAACAAGATGAGAAATTTTTTCTTACATAGTCAGGAACCCAAAACTATCAACTTGACATTGTGAATGTACACAGCCCAGCAGCCATCTGTTACGAGGGTCTTCTCCCATAAGTACAGCATTGATTTCATTTAAGTGCTAGTGAAAGTAGATCACAGGATATTACTTACTTTCAATAACTTGGTGGACAGCTTTAATACATTATTTACTAGAGTGAGCTGTTCTTTCTTATTAGGCTTTTTTTCCATCTTAAGATATAAATTAATCTAAGGAAAAAAAGAGAGATCAAGGCAAATGTCACAGAAAAAGATAGATATACTGCACTAAGTTTGGCAGATTCGAAAGTAATATTTTCAAATAAAATAAATTTGAAAATTCCTGCAGTTATTTCTACAAAACACATATGGCACATACCCTACTCTCCAGCCCATGCAGTCACAACTGACAAAGAAAAGCCAGTTCGTGAATAAAAAAAAAGTAGGGGCGCCTGGGTGGCTCAGTCGGTTAAGCGTCCGACTTTGGCTCAGGTCATGATCTCACAGTCCGTGAGTTCGAGCCCTGCATCGGGCTCTGTGCTGACAGCTCAGAGCCTGGAGCCTGCTTCGGATTCTGTGTCTCCCTCTCTTTCTGACCCTCCCCCGTTCATGCTCTGTCTCTGTCTCAAAAATAAACATTAAAAAAAATTTAAAAAAAGTAAATATGAAGCAATTTATCAAAACAATGAAAAGTGTAATGTTAATTATAACTTAACAGTTAACATGTGAACTTTTTTAAGTTCAAAAGCTCTACCTACTCATTTTGGTGACACCCACATAATATAACATCCTCATTAAACATTAATGAAACATAAGAAGATAGCTGCTTTTAACTTGTTAATTCTTTATTTTTTCTCCTATAGGAAATATTCTCCCACTATAATTCTCAGGCAAAAGAAGAAAATCTAATGATACCAAATGTATTTATGTAAAATTTATGGATAACCATGAAATCAAAACCAAATCCAAAAAAAAAAAAAACAAAAAACCCTTTATACTACTCTATCTTTATAAGAAACATTTCCCAGTCTTAATATCTATTCCCATACTAAAGAGAAAGTATTTTCTAAACTTTGAATGTATGGCTGATACAGAAGAAATTCAAGAGCTTATTAAAAACATGCTTAAATGACAAGTACTATAAAGATCTAATACTTGATGCAGAATATGAGACTTAAAGCATGCTCCATTATCACGAATAAAGATACCTTTAAAATATACAAACTACTTTCAATCCATTAGATCTTAATTCTTACAATCCTGGGAGCTGGTGGGGAAGATTATAAACCCTCATTTTATAAGGAGGAAATAATTATATAGTAGCAAAGTCACCTGTAAGGTCATATAGCTAGAAAGTGCTATATCTAGACTCAACCCTGAATCTTCTGCACAAATCTTATGCCATCTCTAACCACAGAACTAAATTAACAAGAACCAGTCGTTACCTGTTCCGTAAGTAATATTGAAACATTGCTGTATTTCTTATTGGTTTCAGACCCCAATGAGGCCAGACGCAGTAAGAAAAGTAGTAAAGCTGTTTCCCAGATCAAAAACTCCCAATTATAAGCATCATTCAGGAAAGTTTTATGCCCTTGCAGAACCTATACAAAGAACCGACAAAAAGTTAGGTTTTTCATTTGTCTCAAAATCTATAATTACTCCTTTACTCTAGCAACTTAAAAAGATTTACAAGTTACCAATATTTTATACTCAAAGCAGAATTTTAATACTCCTATAAAGCCTTATCTATTTAATCCCTACCTATTTCTCTAGGTTTCCTAGACTTTTTCCAGACAGCAAAGGAGGAAGTAGCAAAGGAGGAAAACATAGAAGTAAAATCAGACAAACACATTTCCAGCCTTTTAACCACTCATGTGCCCACTCACAATTATATGGTGACCATTTTTCAGTGTTAAATTCACATTATCACTAGTCGGCCTTCCTAAGACATGTGGCCCATCCTACTGGTATGACTTGAAAACCCTGAGGATCAATTCTTTACTCCATTTTAGGATCCAAGTAACAACAGCAGCAGCAGCTACCATTTATCAAATGCCTATTATTACGTGTCAAGTTTGCTAGTAAAAGTTGTGTTTTTTGTTTGCTTCAAAATTTACTCAAGCAGCCTGAGGTAAAGTGGAACACACTGGAAAATATACAGAGAATCCTCACAGAAACCAAATGCTGGCCTTTTGAAACCAGGGAGTCACAGCGCAGCTCTCCTCTCTGTCTCTCTTCCTCAAGGGCCATTTGGGCTCCCATCTCCACTCCTCTTAGTTAATTCTGTTGCTTTGCATGACCCTTGTTTACTGCTCCCTGCAAGTTTGGCTCGCTCCAGCTTTGGTTTCCCATAACACCCTACTGACCCTCTCTTCTCCAAAGGCCACCAGTGATATCTCAGGTTTTCAGTCCTAATTTCTAAAATTTCTAAATTCTAATTTCTAAATTTCTAAATACGTTTGGCTTAGTCTGGGTCAGGTGTTTACCCCTGCCAATCAGTTATAACTAGAGTAGGAAAGTAACAGTTAGTAGCAACCTAGGCCCACCTCTTCAGCAGGGTGGATTGTTGTGCGGCAATATACAACACACAAACCACAGCCAAAAAATCAAACACAAAGAAAAACTCTTAAAACCAGCCAGAGAAGGGGTGCATGGGTGGCTCGGCTGGTTAATCGTCCAGCTCTTGGTTTCAGCTCAGCTCATGATCTCATGGTTCATGAGTTCGAGCCCCACATTGGGCTCTGCACTGATGGTGCGGGGCATGCTTGGGATTCTCTCACTCTGCCACTCCCACGCATGTTCTCTGTCTTTCAGAATAAGTAAATTTTAAAAATTGAAAGAAAAAAAAATAAAAAAAAAACACCACAGAAAAAGGACATTACCTTTAAAAGAGCAGCAAATAAAACTAACAGCTGACTTCTCAAGATAAAACATGGAAATCAAAAGGTAACAGAATCCCAAAAGTATTGAAAGTAACTGGCAACCTAGAAATGCATACTCAGTGAAAACATCCTTTAAACAAGAAAGCGATAAAAGACATTTTCAAACATACTAGAACAGAATTCATAACCAGATTCTTCAAACAGGAAGAAAAAAATCCCAGAAAAAAACACAGAAATGCAAGAACTAATGAAAAGCAATGAAAAGGGTAAATGTGTAGGTAAATATAAATGAATAACTGAATACAAAAAATAATCATTATATCTTGTGGGTTTAAAACATATGTAAATATTGGGGTGCCTGGCTAGCTCAGTCAGTAGAGCATGCAACTCTTGATTTCAGGGTTGTAATTTGAGCCTCACATTGGGTGTGGAGCCTACTTAAAGAAATAAGTCAAATAAATACAAGAAAATATATGTAAAATTTTAAGTAAGGATACTAATAATGGGTGAATGGATAAATGAGATAAAGTGTTCTAAGGTCCTAGCATTATCAAGGAAGCAGAAATTAATAATTTATTAGACTATAATAAGCTAAGGATGTATATTGCAATCTCTGAGGTAAAAGTACATATAACAAGTAGTTAAAGAACATATAACACGTTAACAAAGAGGATTAAATGGAATATTACAGAATACTTGATTCATAAAAGATGCCAAGAAAGGAGAGAGAAAGAAAATTTAACAGGTAGACCAAATAAGAAATAAACAGTATTTGTATCTGTGGTAATTACATTAAATGTAAATGAGCCAGACAATCTAAAACACTAAGACTTTCACAGTCCGCAGCTGGATTAAGGAACAAACAACCAAAAAAAGGATATGCTGATTACAGAAGCCAGGACTCAAATATGAAGACAAAATAAACGAAAGGGTGGACAAAGATATAATATGCAAAAACGAATCAAAAGACAGCTGGTGTGGTTAAATTAATATCAAATAGAGCAGACTTTAAGTTAAGAAACATTAGAAACAGAGACATTTCAAAAGGCCATGAAAGATTAAGCCTGACACTTTTCCAGGTTAAAAAAGACTAAAGAGGGGTGCCTGGGTGGCTCAGTTGGGTAAGCATCTGACTCTTGATCTCAGCTCAGGTCTTGGATCCACCATCACAGTAGACGTGAACACGCCTCTGTCAATGGTCAACAGAATAAGCAGACGAAAAAAACATGAGTAAGGATATAGAAGATGCCGCGATGGAATAAACTTGGACTAATTTACCTAGCGAGGACATTGCTCCCCAAGACAACAGAATACAAGTTCTTTCAAAGTGCTGATGGAGATTTAATGAAACTGACCATATGCCAGATAATAAAGCAAGCCTCTACAAATTTCAAAGGAGTAAAGACATTCAGAATACGTTCTCTGAACACAGTAGAATTAAGTTAGAACTCAATAAATGGAACACTACAAGCTACGGCTAGAACTTCTTGTAATGAAGAAAGCACAGAAGTACCCCCTTACCCCAAAAAAAAGGTACAGGGGCCCATCAAAAGTATGCAGGAAGGGGCTTCAAGGGTCTCCCACTGGCCAAATCTGGGACAATTTAGACATCAGAACAAATAGAGTAAATAGATTATACCCAATAGATTTACCCAAATAGGTCATAATCTATTGGGTAAAAATCAGAATATATGAGTCCATAATGAAACCAAGAAGAAACAAGGGAAAGGTCAACCACAGAGTGACAACTAACAGATGTGGAAGGAAAGATGGTGTTAGAGAAATCACTATTTTGTAACCCTCGTGGTATGGTAGATTTATTATCAAAAACTGCCAACTAAAATTAGAGTCATCTTAGAATCTTAAAGGATTCAGAATTATTTTATTCTAATTTCAAAAGTAAGTAAAATTAAGTATTCAAAATAGCATGCTGGTGCCTTGATCCTGAGAAATAAATTTCTGTCATACACACACACACATGCACACACACACACACACACACACACACACACACACACACACACACACCTAAAACAGATAGTGAACCTTATTAGAATTTCCATTTTTCATTACAACAGATATGAAATGTTTACCTGGGCACAACAAATGAAAGCAATGGAAAGTGTCAGTAAGAAGACTGAAGATACGACGACATCAACTGAGCGCTGTGGACCCCGTCTCTGTGGAGTGAGACATATAGGTTAATATTTAAGATTACACTTAGAGACAACAGTGGCCCTCAAATCATTCACATTCTGAGTTTTACAACATTAATGTGAAAATAAATGTTTATAAGAAGTTTCTAGCCCAGTATTTTAACATAGTTCGGACACGTTTAATTTTAAGCATTGAAATTCATGCTGTTCCAAGTTAAGGCTGTGAGTTATTCACGAATGTATTTCCAGCTAAAATATTTTCCAAAAAGTCAGAAAAAGATGCAATTTTCAACTTATCGCTCTGCCCTAGGAATTTAGATTTTCTTTTCCCTTCCTAAGCTCTCATTTACTCACCTCTAACAGCTTAGGAGATAGATCATTTCCAACTTGCTGTCCAGCACGTCTGTCTGTCAGCCACTGATATGATCTGTCTGGTTCACAGAACTACACTACCCATTGAGTATCTGCTGCCAGAAATTTCAGTGAGCAGGCTTTCTGCATATTCCTGCACATATTCCATCGTCAAATGAAACTCACCTTGAGAAAGGAGCGCAGTGATAACCATATCTTAATGTTCTCCACCTTTTTAAGTCTGAAATGAGGTATTTCATATTTCCTAGCCTTCCTGGCAGAAGTAATATGGCTGAAGAGTTTTGCAAATAAAAATCTCTAGAGGAGGTTTAAAAAAATCACAAAGTAAAATATACATGTTTGTCTCTGAGTATATGTTTATATGATTGTAAATAATATTCCCATATATTGGAAGCATATAAAAAATAATAAACAGATGAAATTCTAATCAGTGATCACTTAGACTAAGCTAATAGCTCATTATCCTGTTACTTCCAAATCATATTCTATAGTAATGTCTTTGTATATATGCCTTTGTAATATGGTACACTTGACATTCTCAAGGAATATTCTTTGGAGACCTTTGTGAATCCCCGACCTCACAAACAAAATTGTTTATCTGAATTCTGGTTTAGTTCCAAATTAAATTTCCATTCAAAATCACATTCTTTTGGACATGAAGACATATCAAGTCTCCAATTCTTCATTCTTACCGAAATTCAATGCATTTATTTCTCACTTAACCATTGCCTACACAAACATTTTCACTTTGAGAATTACTACATATGTTATGGGCAAACAAGTGCAGTATTGAGACACAGGTGCTGTGCAGTCAGCTAGGCTCACTCTCTGCCTAAGCCACTTATTCCTACCCGTGAGCTCAGCGAAATCTCAGATTACAACATGTTATTTGTGATTAATCGATATCACAAGTGTTAAACCCACAAACACCAAAAGTTTGCTCATCAATCCTTCATTGTCCACATTAACTTCTGGAGAGAGAACAAATCAATAGAACAAAAACAACTCGGTGGAATATCATATACAAAAGCAGAGGCGAGAAACTTAATTTTCTACTGACCTGTTTATATGTTCTTTCCGCCACACACATCATGAAAAAAAAAATCCAAGTAAGACACAATCGTTCAAAAAAATTAATCATAGACAAAATAATAATAGGTGTAACAGGTGGTGCCCCACAAAAGAGAGTCATGATCTCCTCAGCTGAAATAGACTTTAGCTGGTCAAAACTCTTCTCACGGAAAAGTCGATGTAAAAAAGGGAAAAATGCTAATCCAATGGTGACGACATTTCCCAGCATCTGATAACCTACTCCTTGCTGATACGCATTAACCTGAGAATTAATTTAAAACGTCGCGTCGTTATTACACAGTTAAATGGAGTTATGAAGCAGTTTTTATCGACTACTATTTAGATTATTAAAAACGAAATCTGTTTCGAATCTAAAAGAAGTACAAAGAAAAATGACGTATAGATTTATGACTCTTAGATTTTATTAAAAATTAGGCTTAGATAAGGAACATTCATAGAGTATACCTGAATAACTGATCATGTTCAGAGAACTTTGTAACAAAAAAAAAATATACTACCAAGTAAAGACACTAACCACAAAAATTAAAAAAATATATATATTCGTATTTCAAAAGCAGAGTCAGTGCTTTGATCACTGAATAGAGCCAATGAACAGCTGATCATAAACAGGTTTTTCAAAAAATCTGAAAACTTATGAAATCTTACCCTGCTCATGATGATGCCACTTATTTCCAACACAGACATATCCATCTTTTTGCACTCATTCCCTTCCCAGATTATTGCACTAACTCGATCAGAGGCAGGACTTGAGTTCTGAAGCCAGAATAAGTGGTTCTAAAAAGAAAAATATAAAACTATTTTCATCCACCCTTCTTTCTTCCCTCAGTTGGATTTTCTCCCCATTGTCCAGCTCCCAGGCCACATTTGCCAGTGTTAGACCTCATCATTCTATTCTCTCCTTCACAGAGCTCAATACCAATGACAAACCTCCACCATGCTGATCTCTGGTCCTTTTTTCTTCACTAAGACATTTTCTTACCTAGAGAGAGGCTAAATGTCTTCTGTAATGACGGAAAGTAGGATTCCATGATCTCCAAGGTGGCCTGGCTTCCCTCTCTAAATGTGTGGAAGTGAGGATAAGCTTGGTGTATTCATGGCATGTTAAGAAGGAAAGTATTTCTAGAGCAGCATGACTATACTGGAGGTAGCAGGAAATTAGCTAGGAGAGCTGCTAATAGGCCTTACAAGTTGCATGAATAACTGAGGAGTTAAGCCTTTCTCTGGTCTAATCAGGACACAGAAAAGCATAAAAAGCTCAAGAGGACAGGGGTGCCTGGTGGCTCAGTAGGTTAAGTGTCCGACTCTTGGTTTTGGCTCGGGTCACGATCTCATGGTTCGTGGGTTTGAGCCCCAGGTCGGGCTCTGCGCTGATGGTGGGGAGCCCGCTCAGGATACTCTTTCTCTCCCTCTCTCTCTGCCCCTCCCCTGCTCATGCTCTCAATCTCAAAATAAATAAATAAACATAAGAAAGAAACAAACAGACAAACAAACAAGCAAATAATCCCAATGGAGGAGGGAAAGCAATTAAAGGATTTTAAGGGGAATGGCATCATTCCAGCTGCAGCATGGAAAAGCAAAGGGAGCAGGCCCACAGAAGCTGCTATAATGATCCAGATAGCAGCCAATGACGGTCCACCCCAAGCAGGGGAGACACAAGTAGACAGACACAGATATTCAGTGGAGTCAAGAGGACATATTAGAAACACACTAGAGAGGGTGGGGTCAAGAACCACTCCAAGGATGGGGCACCTGGGTGGTTGAGTCGGTTAGGCATCCAACTCTTGGTTTTGGCTCAGGTCATGATTTCATGGGTCCGTGAGTTTGAGCCCCACATTGGGTTCTGTGCTGGTGGCACAGAGTCCGCTTGGGATTCTTTCTCTCGCCCTCTCTCTCTGCTCCTCCCCGACTCACGCTGTCTCTGTCTCTCTCAAAAGTAAATAAACTTAAAAAAAAAACAAAAAAAGTAAATAAACTTAAAAAAAAAAAAAAAAGAACTACTCCAAGGTTTCTGCCTTAGGCGGTCAGTGGTGGCATTCAAAAATATGGGGATAAAGGAAGAACAGGATAGATAGGGTAATTGGGAAATGATGAATTCCTTTTGATATGGTTTCATGTTACCTAATTATGCTTATATATGCCTTAAAATTATACTGAAAATCCCAAAAGTGCAAAGGAGGTCAAGATTATCAGGATGTCATGTATAACTACTGAGGGCTAATGTAATTTAGATGAATCTTCAGACTAAATGTAAAGAATATTTAGATTCAAACTTTGACAGCAAAATTGAAAGAAGCTTAAAGCTTTAATAAGAAAATGTATGTTGTTTCTGGTTAGTTTTAAAAAATTGTATACATTTAATGAAGCAGGATTTTTTAATGAAAATGTGTAACCTAAATCAATGGTATCCTAGAATCAAGAAAATTCAATGATTAAACAAATGAATATCCAGAATCCAGTATTTGTAGATCACTGTGGAAATATTTAGCCTAAAGAACAACAAAAAAAGGAAGAATCATGATCATTGTCACCAAACATCTGAAATGTTGACTTGAGAACCACTTCTTAACCATTCAATCTATCCAGCAGTGGAGAAAGCTCTCTCATGAAGTTAACAATCACTCTGGCTCCAGAAGTACTTACACAGAGGCCACTGATAATCTGATGGCGATACTAATAATAATGCTAACATTTATTAGGTGCTTACCCTTTGCCAGACATTGTGCTAAGCACTTTATATTATCTCATTAGATATATCACAATAGTCCCAAGAAGGAGTAATGATGATTACCATGTAAGAATTCCTACATTGCTTGGAAGGTTCAAATACCTTCTAAGGAATCTCCAATTCCAGGTTCTCTGATTTTATGATATTAATATAAGACCTAAAATTAAAAGCACCACTTGGTTTATACATTACTAGAGAAGCAAGTAATGCCATTTCTTAGTAATTCACACATAACGCTGCGATGTCGCTGAAAATATGAGGTTGATATACCATTCAAACAACACTCTGCTCACGTAAAATGAACATTAAGGATCATTCTAAGGAAAATAATGAGAAAAAGTGTTATGAAGAACAATTCATGTTAGGGCAATTCCAGAGTACCTGCCCCTGAGTTCTAATTCCAACGTCTTCACTTACAAATTATGCTCGATTTCCTCATCTCTACATTAGAGATAATAATAGTATCTACCTCGTTCAATTATTGTAAAGCCAAATGAGATAATACGGCCCCTGGCATGTGTAGGTATACAGTAAATATTGGCTACCGTCACCTTTACAGACCTGCTGAAAAACATCTTCTTTGGGATCACGTTTGGTCCCTGAATGGAGGGTGTTCACATGGGCCCCCTCACTGTCACTGGTGACAGATGACCGGCACTCTGGGCCATGCAGCAGGTCATCCCATAGCATATCCTCGGTCTCTGAGTCATGGCGGGTGCTTTCTGAGTCTCTTCTAGACATGGTCAGGCTTCGAGAGCCACCACTCATGCCAGACCTTGAGCCCTTTAAAGGGAAACAGAAAAAAACTATCTATTTTTTTCATTCATTTTTAAAAACAATCATATATCTGAAACAAAATTAAAGCAAGTTATCTGTGGTGATGGCTGGCAAGCTCCCGTAAACTTACCCCCAAATATTCACCTGTTCATAAGGCTTCACATAACAATAATACATTTTAAGATATAAATGTTAAACCCTGTGTGACTCTCTAACAAGCAGGGCTGTAAAAGGACTCCCTCTAAGAACTGACTGCCAAATCATCAGGCTGTTTGACTGGAATGCCCTGGATGACAGTGACCTCTGCAAGCCCCTCCGGAGGGCCTACCCTGGAAAGGTGTGGCAGAGCCTTCTGACCTTCCCAAAGTGTCCCCTACTCTAAATACGGCGAGCGTGACTGCAGATCTAGTCGTGTCCCGGGGCCCGGCCAACCACGGAAAGGACAGTCAGGCTGAGCAGAGGCTGCGCGGTGCAGCTCGCCTGCAGCATAAACAGAAACACGAATGTTTTCCCACGCCCCCAACTGCCTTGTCAATCAAAACAAAAACCATCTACCACCATCTGCCCCATCCCCCTCTGAATTATAATATTCCAAATATACAATATCCTATTAGCTGCATGATGAGATTTGCTGCTCGTCTCTCAGGGGTCCTTTCTCAAAAATTTATCTTCATCAGCATCAGTGCCACTTACAAAGGAATGATACTTAAGAATAAACTCTATATTCCAAGTAAATATGAGGGAGCCTTCTTGTCATCTGGGGATTGAGGAAGCTCTTGCCTGCAAAGCATCAGATCATCTATGATACTTTCAAGATCAGAGTCAAAGTGAAACAGAGCTCCTTCTCTTCGTGGGGGTGAGCAGCCAGAGAGGTAGACAGACAACTGACGGCAGGGGAGGCCAGGAAAATAGAACCACTACGTCAGGACAATCAATAAAAAAAGCAGTGGGTAAACTTATCACACTCAGGAATACACCCTGAACAATGACCTCTCAGAAGGATACAATACCTGACTGAAAGCTGCCGATTCAAACTCTGATTCAGCCAGACTATCTGAATCCCGTGCAATGTGACACCACTTGGTGGTGGTTTTCTTTACCTGCCAAAAATCAAGCCAGTAAACAATAGGAAAACATGTCAAATATCTTGTTAGTATTCAGTGATTTAGGAGTTAATGCCTATACTTTTACAAACTAAAAATTACCTGAGTGTTTAGGTGCCTAGAAAGTATTGACTTTCTATTCTTAACTTCACAGCCGTTGTCACTTGAGGCCCCTTCCACACTCCTGCGCAACATCATCATCTGTGTCCGGGCTTCACCGTCCTCCTCGCTTGACAGATCATCTGAAATCCCATTACCCAGATGCCTAAAAGCCTCCTACAAAGAGAACAGCAATTTCTCCCCAGGGGACAGCCCAAAATACTCTAGTAAGCGGCATGTGTAAAAACAAAAAAACAGGTAAAAACTAAGAAATGGTAAAGGTAACCCAAAACTGAACAAACCTATATCTTACTTGGTGTCAATAAAAACTCTCTTGGCACTAAGCAGCCTAAACGGTGAGGCAGTATTATGTAGAGAGGTTGGAAGCGCAGGCGTGAGTCTGAATCAGAGCCCTTTGACTTCCTGGCCACGTAACCTGAGGCAAGTAACTGAATCTCTGGGGCTCCTTTTCCTCAGAGGAAAAGGGATGATAATAAAAGCACCTATCTCACAGAGCTACCGAAACAATTAGATGACTTACTACACATAAAGCACTTAGAATAGTGTCTGGTTGCAGTAATGACTCAAACAGATTAGCTATTTTTGTAATTACTAAATGCCACAGTCTAACAAGTGAGAAGATATTTCAAGACTATAAAATGTAGTTTTAGAGATAAAACATCTGTGCTAAAGCTAGAAAATAGCTTCCCAAACCCTATTATATTATCATTGCATCTCTGGAATATGACACAGGAGCCTCTACACACAGATCCGTTGATGAAATCGACCAGCCTACTCCTAAGGCTGGGTCAGTAGCCTATCAAATAACAAGGTCTAGTCCCAGAAATTAAAAGAATAAACTACAGTCTTCGCGTGTTACTCTCCTTTTCATGTCCTGTGGTTTTACATTTCACTTATTTGTTAAGACAAATTACACAAACCTGTTAGTATCTATTTGATACCTCTAGCAGAGTCTAAGAACAGGAACATTTTATGCAGGAAAGAAAAGATTTTGCTATATATACTCATCTAAATCTTACCCTATGGCACTTTTCTCCATCTGAAAATTTTGCTTTCTCTTTTGTTTGCCACATTCTAATCTCTGGTCGACACTGTCTCTTCTTAATGATAGGATGCAGACAACTTGGGTCATTATCAGTTTCAGTTCCTTTGTTACATATTAATTTCACTCTTTTAATCCTAATTTTAGAAAAGGAAAACAAAGATTACTAGCATGAACTATCTTTCACGAAATCACTTTCTTCTGAAGAATGTAATACACCTGACCCTTGAACAACACAGGTTTAAACTACAGGTTCCACTTATTCATGGACTTTTCAAAAAATACAGTACAGTATTATAAATGTATTTTCTCTTCCTTATCATTTTCTTAATAACATTACTTTTTCTTTACCTTACTTTATTGTAAGAATACAGTATATAATACATACAACACACACAATATATGCTTATTAACTATGTTATTAGTAAGGCTTCTAGTCAACAGGTACCTTTAACCACAGGCCAACTGTGTATTATTCTGTAAATCAAGAAAATGCAGAAATCCTATTTTTCAGGCTTCTAGCTTGCCTAAGGGTGTAGGAAGCCAGAATACAGGTATCGCTAGTCTCCAAAGACTCATCACAATTAATTTTGAGAGTAAGCCTCCTCTTTTCAGTTTTGCAAGCAGGTAGCTTCAGTCTTCTCCACTTTCCCTCTCAAACACAGTGCCAATGCCTACCTCACATCACCCATTTATGCCACTTCCTAGAATGTCTTCCCCTCACCTGTCCCTCAAAGCCCAGCAATTCTTGGCTCCTTCATGACTCCTGCTGATTACTTCACCCCTGAATTACTCTGTCTGCTCAACTACGTGGCCTTTCATCAGCACGTAATCACTTATAGTATTTTTACATTGCTGTGACTGTATCATACTCGTATCTTCCTATTTAGACAATAAAATCACTGAGAAAGGGGATGCCCAGTGCCCAGCACAATGTTCAACACAAAGAACCCAACACTTCAACTGAAGAGTGTAACCTGTCTTTAGCAAAGTAGGGGAATATACAAGCGTCCCCCCGCTTTTCTACAGTCCACATTGTGCCACTTAGCTTTTATGGAAGACTTACATTAACACCTGTCGTGTTAACCAAAAGAAACCTGAGGAGGATTTTTGCTTTTGCGAACAAAGGCGTAAAGTGAAACTAGCACTCAGTATTTGTTTCACCGCGAGCCATTATGGGAGCAGCGCGCCTACAAGCTGCCGGCCAGCTGCAAGAGTGGCCCCTGAGGGCCCCGTCCCTGGGAACTACACTCAGCATCTCAGCATCAAGCCGCCAGAGCTTCGAACTGTGTCTGTGAGCATCTGTGCTTCATCTCAATCCACTAGCAAGATGTGTCCTAAGGTATCAGAAAAGCCTAAGAGAGGCTATTTGGGGGGGGGGGGGTCTGAGAAGGCTCAAAAGTTTTTCTGCAGAAATTAATGGTAATTGCTTCTTCACTTTATTCCATTTTGACCCACGAAAGGTTTCAAAGAACACTCTGCTTTCGGAAAGTGGGGGAAATGTGTACTTCATCTTCAAAAAAAGGAACCGCAAGGGGCACCTGGATGGCTCAGTCAGTTAAGTGTCCGACTTTGGCTCAGGTCATGACCTCACAGTCCATGAGTTCGAGCCCTGCATCGGGCTCTGTGCTGACAGCTCAGAGCCTGGAGCCTGCTTCGGATTCTGTGTCTCCCTCTCTGCCCTTCCCCTACCCACACTCTGTGTGTGTTGTCTCTCTCTGAAAAATAAACATTTAAAAAAAAAAAAAGGAACTGCAAAAGAACTTTGTTTTTGAGTCATAATCATTAATATATGACAAAATAAGTCTTTCTTCAAGTCATACTAATGTTGTCCTGACCTGCAAAATCATGAAGAAGATAGAATATGTTTTGGATCCACTTCCCTTTCTGTCCTATAGCCCATCAACACCAGCCTCCTGCATCCCATTTCTAAAGAGGTATCAGCTTCCACACTGAAAAATATCTGATCTTTTTAAAATTCTTTTTTTCCCCTCAAGCTGTCAGCTAATATGGCTTAAAATATTTACCCTTTCCAAGTATTTATATTTCTATAATCTTGTGGTCTATAATTCTGTTAAAAATCAAACAGAATGAACTTTTATGGTAGAATACTGGACTTGTGGGTAACATGACAGTGGGGACACCTGGAGTAAACAAATCCTTCTAGAATCCTTAAAAATCATACCACAATTATAATATGCTTACACTGTATACTCCCAATCAGATAATATACTATGTTAACACTACTGTGAATACAAAATCAAGTAAAAATTCCAACATAAGCCTTCTCACCTGTTGCCAAAGAGACTGTCCCAAAATCCACCAATAAAGGGTATAGATTCCAAAGTTTCTACTCCTCTGACTTTATCAGAGGAGTTACTTCCATTTTCTCGGCTCCCGTCACCATTTACAGTTTTTCGTAATTTTCTACAAAAAAAAAAAAATTTCAACAACTTCAGATTATTCAAGAACTTGTATGTTTCTACCCAAAATATCCCTACAGAAAATGATAGCAATGGGTTACTACCTGAAATTAAGTATAGTGAACTTCTTGTAATGAGGATAAAATCATGCAAGAATGTTTCTGACTTAAGGGCAAAACCAGGTTCCAAACCAAAGTCCTATGCTATCATTTTGTTTAATATTTAAAGAAATTGAACTGATATCAAAAATATTACTAGAAAAAAATTTTTCACGTGTATGACCAAGAGTCTTTCCATGTACATTCAACACCACTAGCACAAAGAACAATGCCTTTAAATATGGATGTCAGAAATCTATCCATCTGACACATTTAATCAGAGAACACAAAATAACAGCAATTGATCACTTTGTATTGATACCCTAAGCAGTTAAAATACATATCTAAATCACCAAGATACACCATGGGATTTCCTAGAAATCATTAATTGCAAGGAATCCTCTCTTTGCAAAAAAAAATGGCTTGAAAATAACATTCAAAAATAAGAATAAATATGTTCAAATTCATTGCACCAAATGAAAAAAAAATCTTATTTGGTAATTGCTTAGGAAAACAAAAATTTACAGATATTCTGAGAAAAGATAATGTAACTTTTGGAAGGTAATATACCTAACATTTACCTTAAAAGCCTTTATAACAGTTCCAAAACTCACAGATGGCATATAACCAATAAAAACAAAGTGAATTCAATGTATAGAAAAGAGAAATTAATCTCTGTTAAAAGGTTAGAGCACTTAGAAATCCATTCTTTACATACAACTGGAAAAAAGTACAAATTTTACTAGCACTAGCCCAATGTACTAACATCCTTGTTTACATAGTGAATTTTCACCAAATTTTGATTGAGACTGAATGTCAAAAATTTTTTTTTCAAAATCACTGAAGTAAATTTTAAGAGTATAACTATTGCAGTATCAAATTTTTCCTTTTAAACAACTTTACTGAATGACAAAATCCCACCTGGGATTAAATAGGTCATGACAAGGTTTCTTAGCATCTGGAAGAAGAACGAAAAGAAAAGCATTCTTTTTTTTTTTTTTTTAAGCCAAAAAATAATTTAAAAAAAATTGTAAACCAGAAGATTTTTTATTAATTTCATCAAAGATTTTCTAAGTCTGTTCAATGCCTCTCTCAGAAAACACAACTACAAGTGCAATTTCTTATCTTACCTTCTTCTCCGATTTCCATTGTTTCCCGATGGCCTTGTTATCTGAGTAGACACAATTTGACAGTGGACAGTTCCCATGAGTAACATAAGGCACAAGGGTCCAAGTACTTCGCTTACATTCACAATAGGCATCATAAAATATAACACGAGTGCTATAACTGAAAAGAAGAGGTTTCAAAATGTAAAACATCACGGCTCATTCTTTATGCCTAATCTTAGCAATTGTACAAACTATTGCTACAAAAATCTACCAATTTAATTTTTTTGTTTTTGTAAATTTACATCCAAGTTAGTTAACATATAGGGTAATAATGATTTCAGGAATAGAATTTAGTGATTCATCTCTTACATGTAAACACCCAGTGCTCATCCCAACAAGTGTCCTCCTTAATGCCCCTTGCCCATTTAGCCCATCCCCCTACCCGACACCCCACCAGCTATCCTCAGTTTGTTCTCTGTATTTAAGAGTCTCTTATGGTTTGTCTCCCTCTCTGTTTTTATATGTTTGCTTCTCTTCCTTTATGTTCATCTGTTTTGTATCTTAAATTCCACATGAGTGAAGTCATATGATATTTATCTTTCTCTGACTTACTTCACTTAGCGTAATACACTCTAGTTCCATCCATTTTATTGCAGATGGCAAGATTTCATTCTTTTTGATCACTGAGTAATATTCGATTGTGTGTATATACACATATATATACATACACACACACTACATCTTCTTTATCCATTCATCAGTCGATGGATATGTGGGCTCTTTCCATACTTTGGCTATTGTCAATAGTGCTAATATTGGGGTGCATGTGCCCCTTTGAATCAGCACTCCTATATCCCTTGGATAAATACCTAGTAGTGCAATGGCTGGGTCATAGGGTAGTTTTATTTTTAATTTTTTGAGGAATCTCCATACTCTTTTACAGAGTGGCTGCACCAGTTTGCATTCCCACCAGCAGTGCAAAAGAGTTCCTCTTTCTCCACATCCACACCAACATCTGTTGTTGCCTAAGTTGTTAATTTTAGCCACTCTGACTGGTGTGAGGTGGTATCTCAGTGTGGTTTTGATTTGTATTTCCCTGATGGTGAGTGATGTGGAACATTTTTTCTTTGTCTGTCAGCCATCTGGATGCCTTCTTTGGAAAAGCGTCTATTCATGTCTTCGTTTCTTCACTGGATTATTTGGTTTCTGGGTGTTGAGTTTGATTAGTTCTTAATAGATTTTGGATACTAACCCTTTATCTGATATTTCATTTGCAACTATCTTCTCCATTCCATTGGTTACCTTTTAGTTTTGCTGATTGTTTCCTTTCCTGTCCAGAAGCTTTTTATCTTGATGAAGTCCCAATAGTTCATTTTTGCTTTTGTTTCCCTTGGCTCTGGATACATGTCAAGTAAGAAGTTACTGTGGCTGAAGTCAAAGAGCCTGTTGTCTGTTTTCTCCTCTAGGATTTTGATGGCTTCCTGTCTTATGTTTAGGTCTTTCATTCATTTTGAATTTATTTATGTGTATGGTGTAAGAAAGTGGTCCAGTTTCATTCTTCTGCACAAAGAGCTTTCATGCTGTCCAGTTTTCCCAGTGCCATTTGCTGAAGAGACTGTCTTTTTCCATTGTATATGCTTTCTACCTTTGTCATGGATTGGTTCACCATATAAATATGGGTCTGTTTCTGGGCTCTTTACCTGTTCCATTGATCTATGTGTCTGTTTTTGTGCCAGTACCATACTGTCTTGACGATTATAGCTTTGTAATACAGCTTGAAGTCCAGAATTGTGATGCCTCCAGCTTTGGTTTTCTTTTTCAGAATTGCTTTGGCTATTCGGGGTCTTTTCTGGTGCCATACAAATTTTAGGATTGTTTGTTTTAGCTCTGTGAAGAATGCTGTTATTTTGATAGGAATTGAATTGAATATGTAGATTGCTTTGGGCAATATTGACATTTTAGCAACATTTGTTCTTCCAATACATGAGCATGGAATGTTTTTCCATTGTGTGTGTGGGGGGGAGGGGGGGGTTCTTCAATTTCTTTCATAAGCTTTCTATAGTTTTCAGTGTTTTCACCTCTTTGATTAGGTTTATTCTTATATATTTTATGGGTTTTGGTGCAATTGTAAATGGGATCAATTCTTGCATTTCTCCTTCTGGTGTTTCATTATTAGTGTATAGAAATGCAACCTATTTCTGTACGTTGATTTTATATCCTGTGACTTTGCTGAATTCATGGATCAGTTCTAGCAGTTTTTTGGTGGAGTCTTTTGGGTTTTCCACATAGATGATCATGTCATCTCTGAAGAGTGACAGTTTGACTTCCTCCTTGCTGATTTAGATGCCTTTTATTTCTTTGTGTTGTCTAATTGCTGAGGCTAGGACTTCCAGCACTATGTTGAATAACAGTGGCGACAGTGGACATCCGTGTCTCTTTCCTGACCTTAGGGGGAAAAGTCTCAGTTTTTCCCCATTAAAGATGATATTAGTGGTGGGTCTGTCGTATATGGCTTTTATGATCTTGAGGTCTGATCCTTCTATCCCTACTTTCTTGAGGGTTTTTATCAAGAAAGGATGCTATATTTTGTCAAATGCTTTCTCTGCATCTATTGAGAGGATCATGTGGTTCTTATCCTTTCTGGTATTAATGTGATCTATCACAATGATTGACTTGCAGATATTGAACTAGCCCTGCATCCCAGGAATAAATCCCACTTGATCGTGGTGAATAATTCTTTTAATGTGTTGTTGGATCTGGTTGGCTAGTATCTTGTTCAGAATTTTTGCATCTATGTTCATTAGAGAAATTGGTCTATAGTTCTCCTTTTTAGTGGGGTCTTTGTTTTTAGAATCAAGGTAATGCTGACCTCATAGAATGAGTTTGGAAGATTCCCTTCCATTTCTATTTTTTGGAACAGTTTCAGAAGAATAGGTGTTAACTCTTCTTTAAATGTTTGGTAGAATTTCCCTGGAAAGCCATCCAGCCTTGGACTCTTGTTTGTTGGGAGATTTTTGATTACTGAATCAATTTCTTTACTGGTTATGGCTCTGTTCAAATTTTCTATTTCTTCCTGTTTCAGTTTTGGTAGTTTATGTTTCTAGGAATTTGTCCATTTCTTCCAGATTCCCCAAATTATTGGCATATAATTGCTCATAATATTCTCTTATTATTGTTTGTATTTCTGCAGGGTTGGCTGTGAGCCCTCTCTCATATTTATTATTTATTTATTTATTATTTATTTATTATTTTTATATTTATTTATTATTTCCCATATTTATTTTTTATATAATTTTATATAATTATGTTTGTGATTGATTTATATATTTGGGTGCTTTCTTGTTGAGGACATAAATATTTACAATTGTTAGATCTTCTTAGTGGATAGACCCCTTAATTTTGATATAATGCCCTTCTTCATCTCTTATTGCAGTCTTTATTTTAAAATCTAGTTCGTCTGATATAAGTATGGTTATTCTGGCTTTCTTTTGGCGACCATTAGCATGATAGATGGTTCTCTATCCCCTACTTTCAATCTGTAGATATCTTTAGGTCTAAAATGGGTCTCTTGTAAGCAGCATACAGATGGGGCTTGTTTTCTTACCCATCCTGATACCCTATGTCTTTTGATTGGAGCATTTAGTCCATTGACATTTAGAGTTAGTACTGAAAGATGAATTTAGTGCTATTGTGTTGCCTGTAGAATTGGAGTTTCTGGTAATGTTCTCTGGTCCTTTCTAATCTTTGTTGCTTTTGGTCTTTTTTGTTTTGTTTCATCTTTTCTCCACTCAAAGAGTCCAACTTAAAATTTCTTGCAGGGATGGTTTAGTGCTCACAAACTCCTTTAGTTTTTGTTTG